AAATTTCACAACGTTGTATGTCTTGAGATCTCGGAGGTCTGGCCTGCATTCAAGCTGTGGTTAACACAAACAGCTGTCACAACGCCCTTGTAGGTTACGTTACTTCTGAGGTTTCTGCTCTTTAACTGTTCCTGTTTAGCACTGCCAGCTAGTCACGAATCTTGCTCCTTTGGCCACATCCCTCTGTTTTCCACGTCAGTCTCCTGCCTTGTACTTCCAGGCCATTACCATTTTGTACGACAGCACCCAGCCCTTTTTAGTTGACTGAGCCTCTCTGCTCTGTGTATCTTCTAATAAGGATTTTAATAGCTATTGTCCTTGTTGGGCTGCTGGTTGACTTGCATATAGGTTTCTGCAAGTTTAGATTATAAACTTACAAGTAGGACTCCCCTTTAACTTTGGGCACATGGGACTTCCCTGGCAGTCCAGTGGTTAAGACTCCGCACTTCCGCTGCAGGTGGCCCAGGTTCCATCCCTGGTCAGGGAACTAAGATCCGCAAGCAGCAGCGTGGCCAAAAAAAAATTAACTTTGGGTATGTGACTCTCACCCTCCAGTACGGTATTCTGCTCACATGGAACAGGGCCCACATCGCCTTCTCTTGTCTTTCCACAGTATTCCCAGGCCTCCACCGTGCTTTCTGTGGGTGGGATTCGTCAGCAGTTCTCATTGCCTGAGAACATCCAGCTCTCCCTCTTTTCGGTCGAATTTCTCCGGAACATCAATGTACGTGCTGTGAGATTTGGGGGTGGGGTGGTGACCCCTCCTTTAGCCCAGAGAGGGGAGCAGCCCAGCTGGCTGGGCGAGCATATGGGCAGCTAGGAGTTGGAACCCCCGGTTTTCTTCCCAGCGGCGGTGCCCGGAGAGAGCTTCCCTCTGGGTCGGGGTACCAAGCCCGGGGGCTGTGGTGAGAAAGCCAGGAAAGCTCTCCCTCCCTTCTTGAAGTCAGCTTCTTGGAGGAACTTTTCTTTGCACACAGGAGTACCTGGCCGTGGTCGATGACCCTCCCCTGGACCTCCAGTTCAACCCCTCTGGTTACCTCTTTCTGGCTTCAGAGGAGGGGGCTACGATCATGGAAAACAACGTGAAAGTGCAGAGGTGGGCGCCCGGCATGGCTGCCATGCTGCGTCTCAGCTGCCCACACACAGTGGGCTCTGACTCACTTTAGGAGCCGGGGTGACGGAGCCAACAAGACAGGCCCTGCTCCCTAGGAGCTCAGTCTATCAGGAAGACGCGCACGGGCAGACCTCCAAAGCCCTGTGCTAAGTGCTGTAACACAGACACGGACAAAGCACTGCCGCGGTGGTTCCTAAATTCCCAGGTGATGAGAACCACCCAGGACACATCCCTCCTAATAAGTCAGGATCTCTGGGGAGGGGCCCACAAATCTGCGAATGTTTTCTCTAAGAGCCGGAGAGCTAAGCTCGTAGGCTTTGCCGGCCATACCGGGACTCGTGTAAAAGGCTGTGGGTCTCATGACCCGTCAGTCAGGACTATCACCTGAGCCTGTGAGCTCATCACTGGGCCCCAACGCCCCATCTGTCATCCTGGGCTGTGATCCCGGCCCGCGTTCACACCTCCTCACTGCTGGATTGCTCCCCAGCACCATGCCAGGGTCTCCTCCACCCTCCTCTCGTCCAGGCCATCCTGCCCCCATATGGCTGCGCAGGCAGCCTGATCTCTGTGCCTGAGACCCTTTAGCAGAACCTTCTACGAGTTTCACTAGTGACATCAGGTCACATCCTAAATGCATTATAAATGTTAACTTGTTTAATCATCAGAACATGCCCATTTTACATGTGAGAAAACTGAGGCCCCCGGAGCTAGTAAGTGGTGGCGCTGGGACTTGAACCAGGCAGTCCGCCTTGTGAGTGTCGCCGTTTAGCACATACAGTGCTGTCTTTGGGCATGAGGGTCCCAGAAGGAGACAGTTGTGCTGGTGAGCAGGATTGTTCTAGGAGGTGGACAGGAAGGCTGTCCTGGGCAGAAGGAGTGGAGGGAACAGAGTGACCCGCCCTGTTGTGAAAGCACGAGGAACAGTTAGCGGGTGATAAGGTGTTTAGCGTGGCCAAAGGGAGGCTAGAGTGTCATAAAGGAAACGGGGGTCAGATGCTGAAGAGCCTTGACTAGGAGCTTGCTCTTTTCCAGGAAGCAAGGAGGATACATGGGGAGTTGGGGGCAGAGGAGTGACATGAAGGAGTTGACTTGTGGAGCTGGGGCCCATACTTCTCCCCCCATACACTCATCCAGCACACATACGTAGACCCACACATTTCTCCAGGCAGGAAGGAGCCAAAGTTTGTCTGATGTCTCCGGAGCAGCTTCAGAAGAAGTTTCCCTGGATAAACACGGAGGGAGTGGCTTTGGCATCTTATGGTGAGGCTCGCTTGCAGAGGGTGTCAGGGGTTGAGGGGCACCTCAGGTTAGGAGTCTCAGCACCCCGCAGCCAAGTCAAGGAGGAACGCTTCCCTCCTGGCTGGCAGGGCCTCCCCCGGGCCAGGCCGGCTCTCTGTCCTTCCGCAGGATCTGACTCTGGTGCAGTTGGTCAATGTGACTCCCCAGCTTACGAGCCCTAAAGAAGAGTTAGGGGTGCAGGAGAGACAACAGGAGAGGAGGGTCCTAGCCCACCTTCACGCATCCTCTTTCTCCTCACAGGGTTGGAGAACGAAGGTTGGTTTGACCCCTGGTGTCTGCTCCAGGGGCTTCGGCGAAAGGTCCAGTCCATGGGGGTCCTTTTCTGCCACGGAGAGGTGACACGTGAGTCTGCGGCCCCGTGTCCACTGCTTGTGACCTCTGCCAGCCAGGACGCCAGCCCAGACAGGGTCTTACCTTCACGCACAGGCTGAGCAAGGCCTGTGCTTTCTCAGGATAGGGAGTTCTCCCCTGGGGACTGGTCCTGGGCATCCTGACCCTGGCTCCTAACTGCATTTGGCCGTGACTCGTGATCTGCTTGAAGATTTTGGCACCCTCCTGTCCGTGCGGCCAAGTTCATCCCGGTTACCCTGTCTCTTTGCTTCAGTGTCTGTGGGAAAGCTTCTTTCCTCAGGAAATCAGTGGAATCTCCATCTCCTTCCTCTTTGAGGCCTCAAGGGCTTATTTTCTTTCCTTTTTCATGCAGGTTTCGTCTCTTCATCTAACCACATGGAGACCGCCATCGGGGAGAAGGTGACTTTGAAAAGGATCCATGAAGTCCATGTAAGTTCCCAGCCTAGGTATCTCCTTTATTAAATGAGAAACGTAACAGCTGTCATTTTGATCTTCTGCTACCCACTTCCAGTGTGGGTAAACTGAGGCTCAGGAAGAACTGGACTGCTCCCTCCGCCCCCCTCTCTGGTGCCCATAGGTGAAGGTGGACCACAGCCAGGAGTACCAGCCCGTGGAATGCGCCATAGTGGTCAATGCAGCGGGGGCCTGGTCTGGGCGAATCGCAGAGCTGGCTGGCATTGGGAAGGGGCCGTCTGGTACTCTTCAGGGCACCAAGCTGCCCGTGGAGCCGAGGAAAAGGTGACTTGCCCAGGGCCGTGGAGCGGGATGGGGGTGAGAGGAGAGTCGGGGAGGGGAGTTGCTGTTCTCGCCGCTTCTAACGCCGCTGGTCACGGCAGGTATGTGTACTTGTGGCACTGCCCCCAGGGACCAGGCCTGGAGGCTCCGCTTGTCGCAGACCCCAGCGGAGCCTATTTCCGCCGGGAAGGACTCGGCAACAACTACCTGGGCGGCTGTAGCCCCGCTGAGGTGAGCTCTGTGGGGTCGGGGTGCCAGGGAGAAGACAGAGACCGGATATCGCTGAGCAGTCAGGCTTCTTTGGCGGGCCCAGTGCTGGTACTGATGTCACGGTCCCCTCTGGCTTTGACTTGGGGTCTCTTCCCCCCATCCGCCACTTACCAAGCGGACAGATGAAAGAGGCCAGCGAGGCCTGGGTCTGACGTGTGTCCCGGGCAACGTAAGCCTTGTCCCCACCTCTGCCCCCAGGAGGAGGAACCAGACCCAGGGAACCTGGAAGTGGACCATGATTTCTTCCAGGAGAAGGTGTGGCCCCATCTGGCCCAGAGGGTACCAGCTTTTGAGACTCTAAAGGTAACTGGAAGGAGACAGATGACCCCGGAGCATCTGGGCCCTGTCGGGGCCCCCACCTCGCAGGACCCGTCCCGTGAGCGCGCTCAGCGGTGGCGGAGGGTACCGTGCGCCAACCCCAGCCGGGAGTGGGTGGGGCGGAGCGCGGGGCAGCCCTCCCGACGCACAGCGTCCTGTGCCCCGCAGGTGCGGCGCGCTTGGGCTGGCTACTACGACTACAACACCTTTGACCAGAATGGCGTGGTGGGCCCTCACCCCCTCGTCGTCAACATGTACTTTGCGACGGGCTTCAGTGGCCACGGGCTCCAGCAGGCCCCCGCTGTGGGCCGGGCTGTGGCAGAGGTGATGCTGGAGGGCCACTTCCAGACCATCAACCTGAGCCCCTTCCTCTTCAGCCGCTTTTACTTGGGAGAGAAGGCCCAAGAGCACTGTATCATCTGAGCCTGTGAGCTCTTCGCCGGGCCCCAGCCCTGGCCCATGCTCACACCGCCTCACTGCTTGATTGCTCCCCAGCACCATGCCAGGGTCTCCTCCGCCCCCTTCTCGTCCAGGCCATCCTGCCCCCGTATGGCTGGGCAGGTGGGCCAACCACTGCCTAAAGCCCAGGCTGACAGAGAACGATGGGGTGGGACCCCAGGACTGATCATGGCCCAGGCTGATGCCACCCACCAGGAGCCCAGCCGGACAGAACACCTCAGAGGACCTGAGCACCGTGGCCCAGGACTGGCTCCTTCGTGGGACCGACCCAGAAAGACTGCCTCTGCCCCTCTCGGCAGAGCCCAGGCAGGGAGCATTCTGGGGCAGCCTGGCCCAGGTCTATGGACTTGTCTACTTACCCTATTCATCGATCAAGAAATGTGATGAACGCCTTCCTTTCAGTCTTCTGTCCCTTCCTCTTTTCACCTCACGTTACCCCACTTGCCTTTGATAGCGGGCTGGGAGAAGCACAGGAGCGCTCTTAAATCCCGGGTGTTAGGCGTCTGGTTTGCACGTTAGTGCCTCCTTTTCCTGAGTTCCTGACCGGGGGTGGGGGGACTGTGGAGGGAAGGAAGGTGTTCATTCATCAATTCATTATGTATTCAGTTCCAACTCTCGGCAGGCCCAGGGCTACATATTAGAGATATACCAGCAGGCAAAGCATGGCATGTGTTCTCCCTGGAGAGTTCTCACCTGTGCCCGGCCCCTCGCCCCTAGGTCAGCTACAGCGCAGCCCCTGCGGTGCTGGGAGAAAGCACAGGACACAGACGCCTCACCCCAGCCGGGTGTTTCTCCCTGAAGTTTCCCAGGGAAGGTGACCTCTGAGCTGAACCTAAAGGATGAGCAGTTTAACACAGTGAACACAGGGTGATCCCAGGCTGAGGGAAAAGCATATACAAAGGCCTGGGGGCAAGAATTAGCAAAATTCAAGGGACTCAGGTGGTGTGTCCCCGCTGGGTCACAGAGAGGTAGTGAGGGGCACAGCGGGCCCGGGGTCTGAAGAGCCGGCTGTGGACCTTGGCTTTTCTGTGCACAGGGGCCACTGAAGGGCTTTCAAAAGGGAAGCCACATGATCAGATTCTCCTTTTAGAGAAATCAGCCTGCCTGCCTTGTGGAGAAGAGAATGATGCCAAAGCAGGAGACCAGACAGCAGGCTGTCACTATAGTCCACGTGGCAGAGACAGCCAGGCCTGCACCATCACGGCAAGAGGTGCACGGACCCGAGAGGCAACAGTAGCAGCGAGTAAAGGGGGTCAAGTAAGACTCCAGGCGTTCTGGCTTGGACAACTGGATGGATGTCATGCCTCTCGCAGAGATGAGCAGTGTGAGGGACAGTGAGTGGGACAGTTTGGGACATGTTAAGGCTCTGCCTGCAGGACGTCTGGTAGAAATATCTAATAGGGGTTGACTCACGGTTGCACTGAGGGGGATGTGGGCTGTAGGTAGAGATGTGGGCGTCAAGGAGAATGACGGCATCACCCTGGGAGGGGAGAAGAATAGGGGACTGGTGTGGGGCGGGGGGAAGCTGGAGGGGCTCCTGCCATATTTAAGAGATGAGGACGCTGAAGAGGTGGCCAGAGGCAGGAGAAAAGCCCAGAAAGTGAGGTGTCTGCAGAGCCTGGGAGGAAGTGTCAGTGGTATAAACACACACATGAGGGCTGGATTCAGTATCAAGAGGGTCCCTGGGGACCTTACGGAGGGCAGCCCCAGGGAGAAATGCACCCAGTGGGGTTGAGTGTGGATACTTGTTCAGAGGGAGAAGTGAGTGGGAGTAGAGACAGCTAGTAAAGTGCCCACTCCCTCCCTAAGTGGCCTGTGGGGAGAAGAATGAAACAAAAGATGGAGGTGGACCTCCCGATCATCAGTTGGGAACAGTAGAAGCCCCTGAGTTGGGGGGGTGAGGATGGGTGGGGAAGAACCAGGACTAGTTCGGTGAGCAAAAGAGGAGGAGCCATCTGAATGCGGAATGAACTCAATGAACTCATGCTGAAAGAGAGGCAGGAACTTGCCAGGGGCCAGGGGCCAGGATGAAGCTGGCTAAACCCAACGTCCGTGTTAACCCTGAAGGCAGCCTCCTTTGGTGCCCAGTATCCACTCACCCTTCCTTCAGCACAGATGCCCCTACCTACTGGTCCGGAGGGAAAAGGCCTTCATCTGGCTCCTCCCCCAGAAGCTGCTTCCTCCAGGACAACAAATGCTGCACTTGTTAGGAAGGCGGTAATGAACCCTCTGCACTCCCACAGGGCTTTATTCAGGCTACAGGACAGCACTTACCCTTGCACCTGTCTTCCCTGTGCGAGGGACACTGGGGCCTAGCCTTCACCTTTGCCCCAGCACTGAGCTTGGCTGTCCTATGCTTGTCCTATCCTTGGCTCTCAGTGTGTTTACCTGAGTTCCTCTCTGCTTCCACTGGAGCCAGATTGATCCCTGGCCTCAGGGAATTTTCACTGTAACAGAGGTAAGCTGCTTGAGAACAAGTTCCAAATACCTTAAGGTCCTAGAGGGGATCTCAGCGAAGAAGGTGGGAAGGGCAGGGTTAAGAAAAGTTTTCCTGCATAAGCTGCAAAAATGACCCTTGTCAGAAGATGGGGGTTTTTGAAGAGCAGAGTTGGGAAAAGAGAGGACACCTTGGGTGGAGGGGACCTCAGAGCACAGGCACAGGGCAGGGAAAACGGAGGTATACTCCATGCAGAGTAAAAGGAACCCTTTTACTCTGAGCACCTGGGCACTAGGCTAGCTGTCTGACAGACTTTATCTCATCTACTCCTTCCCACAACACTAGGAACCAGGTATCATTTCCATGACGAAAGTGAACCTCGACAAGCCCCGCACTTCCCCAAGGTCTCACCTCTAACATGATGCGCCCTGGATATGAACCCCAGCCATGTGACTCCTGAGCTCCCCAGGTATGGCCTTACACCCCCCACACTCCCTCCCAGGAGTAGCACTAATTCCTTTTCGCTGGCTGGTGAGAAAAGCAGGAAATCAGATTGAAAGGGAGATCATGAATCTTAGATCGGCCCTATTAAACCACCTCCACGCTCCAGCATTTCACCTGCACAGCAGTAGGCGTGTTTCCCAAACCGGCATGCGAGGAACACTTCTCAGGAAGATACTGACATTCCCTCTGGGGTGAAACAAGCTTGGGAAATGCCAGGTGCTATATCCCCGCCTGGGTGCTTCACGCTGCTCATCAACATCCCGAGGACGCTAAGAAGTCCCTTCACTCTGTCTAAGCCAGGCCTCGCCACCGTTTGCCCGTCACACTCGGCCAGGCGTTAGTGCTCGCGGAGCCGTGCCCGCTGGGCCATGAACTTCAGGGGAGCGTGCCAGGCGCCCCGGCCCCGGGGGCTGCCCTCACGGCTGCCAAGGCCGCCGGCCTCTCCGCCTCACCACTGACTGTGTGTGGCCATTGGGAAAGTCCGGCATCATCTTGCTCACTTGCCTAAAAAGAAAAAAGGTCTAAACGCTTCCCTGGCAAGCCGTCGAGAAGACTCAATGAATGAAGTAAGGCGTTTCTTTCCGTGTCCGCGACAGAGAACACGGCCGAGGCTGCAGGTTCTCCTGGTGGGTTTTGGGGAACTCGGGAGGAAAGACTTATTTCCAAGCTTCCGCCCGGTCCTTAGCTGCGCAGATGCCCACGAACCTCCCTGCGAGACCGGGGAAGCGGGCGCGGAGGGCCCGGCCGCCGCCCCCTCGGGTCGGGCTTGGGGCGTGGGAGCGGCGGCCGGAGGAGGAGCCGCGGGCCGGGAGCCTCGGCGCTTCCGGGGCAGCGGGCGGCCGGCTGCACTTCCCGTGGGCGAGCGGCCCGCCGGGCTTCGGAGCCCGTGCCCCACACCGGCCGCACCGAGGTAGCGCCCCGCGCACCCCGGCGCAGGTGAGCGCTCGGGGAGGCGCGGGCGGGAGCGGGAGCGGCGGGGCCCCGCGGCAGGGGCGAGCAGGGGAACGGGCGGGGCGGGCAGGCGGCTGGGCCGGCAGGACTCCCGCGGGCAGTGGACCCCTGCGTTCGGCCCCGTTAGCGGCCCGGTCCCCGGTCCCCGGTCCCCGGTCCCGGATTTGCCCCCTCCCTGCGGCACCTCCGTCTGGTTCACCGCCGTCCCCTCTGCGCCCCTTCACCTGGCCGCTCGTAGCACCCACAACGCGGAAACGGGTGAAAAGGCCCCCGGAGAGAGCTGTCACCTTCTCTGTCGCCAAGAAGTTCGTGCAGGGAGCCCTCCTTGAGCTTGAGGAGCCTGCCTGGTTCAGGTGGCTTCGGTCTTGAACTGTAGATTCTTTTTCTTCCAGGCTCTAGCGTCCTTCTCTGCTCTGTCGCAGCCTCTCCCTCTGCTCTTCTGATGGCCTTTCTGACAGTGTTTCAGCAAGAACAGGGCTTTACTTAGGGTTACAGGCCTACGGAGCCATCCCTTCCACAGTCATTTCACGAACCTCTACGATGGGCTGGGCATCGTGTGACAGCACTGAACAGGACAGAGTCAGCCCTCGTCCTCTACCTGGCGACACTAGAACCACACACACCCTGACAAGTGCAGCTAAGAGAGGGGAGGATGGAGTACACACTCCCCAAGCTGATGCATCTAACCCAGGGGCCACGGAGGGTCAGGAATGACCCATTGTCAGAGGAAGTCACATCTAGTTATTTTTAAAACCTTTTTTAAAAATTGAAATACAACCCACACACAGAAAAGTGCACAGATCTTAAGTGTACAGCTTCCCCAGTGTCACATTCCTGTGGCATTCCCGTGCAGCCCGCACCCAGAATAAATAAAACATTACTCGCACTCCAGAGTTTTTTTGACCGCACCAAACAGCTCGTGGGATCTCAGGCCCTGACCAGGGATTGAACCCTGGCACCCAGTAGTGAAAGCCTGGAATCCTAACCCCTAGGCCACCAGGGAACTCCTCAGATGCCTTCTTATGCCCACTTCCAGTCACTACTTTCACACATGGGTAACTGCTATCCTGGTTTCTAACATCATAAAATAGTTTTATTTGGTTTTGAATTTTGGATACTTGGGATCCTACTTATGTACTTTTGTGTATGGTGTTTTATACTCAATGTATAGATTGAACCCCGTTGCATTTAGCACTCGTTCATTTATTCTCATTGATGTGTAACTTTTCACTGTACGGATAGACCACAATTTGTTTCTACATATTCTACCGGATACTAGGATTGATGGATGCTGTTGTTTCCAGTTTGGGGTTATTGTAAATAGTGCTGCTGGGGCATTCTTATGTTTGTGTTTTGGTGAGCATATGTTAGCACTGCTGTTGGGTCCATTCCTAGAAGTGGAATATAGCGCCAGACAGTTTTTCAAAGTCCTCCTACCAATTTGCACTCCCACAGGCAGTATATGAGTTCTGTTTCTCCACATGCTTACCAATACTTGATATTGTCTCTCTTTTTCATTGTAGCCATTCTGCTGAGTGAGTGGGAAGTGGGGTTGCACTGAGGTTTTAATTTGCATTCCTCTGGTGACTAATGAACTGTGCATCTTTTCATACATCTGTTGGGCCTTTGGATATCCTTTTGTGAAGTGTCTGTTCAATTCTTGTGCCCATTTTTCCAATAGGTTGTCTCTCTTTTTCTTACCAGTTTGTAAGAGTTCTTAAATATTCTGGATATGAGACATATTGGATATGTATTTTTAAAATATCTTCTTTCTCTCAGGAGATTGCCTTTCACTGTCCTTACTAAGAAACCAAGTTGAAGGTAGATTTTAACAAAGAAGAAAGGCCCAGTGAAAATAATAAAATGTCTGGCTTTAAAATAGCACAAATAGCAGTAATAATGCAGGTATTCCAATAAGAATATAGACTTGTATAGCCTAGAGTTACTATTATTTCCTTCTGGTAAATACTTCTGAACACATGCTTTTAAGTTATTTGAAATTATTCTCTGTTAGGAAGATACAGATTGCAAATTTTCATCTTTCTTTGGTCCCCAGACATTACTAAGACTTTCTGTCTGATTATGGTTAAATATGAACAGAATTAGATATTAATGAAGTATTTGCTAATGAAAGATGAAGATATTATAAAAAGTTAGGGAACAGACTCTTAAAGCTAAACATTGCTGATTCATTTGCTCTAATAAGACAACTATTCATGAATCAATTCCTACAATTCATGTTCTCTGACATGATTCTTTGGAAAATAATGCCAGTCTTCTGTTAAATTTTTAAGCATGTGACGTAATCATTGCGCTTTAACTTGGGATGGTATTTCAATAAGTAATTATGTGTGATAGTCAACCTATTTTGTAGTCAGCCTATTTAGTTAAAAGTGTTATAAACATACTCAAATCTCCTGAAAAAGAAAAAAAAACAGTAAATCTTGTTTTCTGTTTATACTATGATGTTACATCTTCCCTTCACTTCACAGGCAAAACTTTAAAAGTGTATAATTACTGTCTTCATTTTCTGGCAGGCATATCATTTGTTCTTCATAATCTAGTTTCTGTTCTAAATGAAAGTGGGGTTTTGTGTAGGCAGTTGGTCATCTCCTAATTTTCAAATTCAAATGCTTCTTCTTAATCCTCACTGGCCATTTGACATTTTTCACCAACACCATTGTAAACACCATCTCATTTTCAAAACTCTCTTTCCTTGCCTATCATAACATTGCGTTCTCCTGATGTGACTGCTTGTAAAACTTGCTCCTCTCCGTCTTTCAACTGTAGGTATTCCTTAATGCTTTGTCTCTTTCCATGCTACGCTTTCCCCAGATGATTTGAATTGTCACATACAGGCTGATGACTACCGCATCTATAATTCTGGCCCTGCCGCCTTCTTCCAACTCCAGACTCATTTTAAACATATGGCTTGGCATGTGTCTCCATGCAGATATCCCACTAGGATCTTAAACCTACTGTTGCTTTATAGTAAATTTTTATTATTCTGGTAGTGGAAGTCCTCTTAAAGTTCCTCTTTAAAAATCTTAGTTTTTTAAAAAAATCTAACCGCCCTCCCCCACAAAGCCTTTTTCAAAAATATATAAAGAGCAGTCATTTTGTAAGCTCAAAAGGGAACTAATGTATAAAGGCATAATTTGTAAACTGTATCCGTCATTAAATTCACTGCTGGCACAATCTATATTACATTCAATGCCTGCATATTTACTTGAGACCTACAGCAAAGTAAATACAAAATAAGTTCACACCATTTCAGTTTAAAATGACCTTTAGTACGCATGTGGCATAGTTTCAAAACTAAGACAGTTTTTTAAAACTAAGGAACTGTTTTCCAAAGACCAATTTGCTACGTTTTGCAAAATACAGCAACACTAATTAAAATGCTTCACATTCCGTGTTTGGTCAGTAAGATATATTCCTATGTGACTAAAATACAGCTAAGGTTTTAGATTTTAACAACCAAAGTAACAATACTTTTGATATATAATTAACTTGAGGGAGTTCCCTAGTGGCCTAGTGGTTAAGATTCAGCGCTGTCACTGCTGTGACCGGGGTGTGATCCCTGGCCCCGGGACTGAGATCCTGCAAGCCTCGCAGCCAAAATATTAAATAAAAATAAAGTAGTGGGTGCTTTTATATACACATACACACACACACTCACACATATATTTGAAATTTTTGACATGTTTAAAAGTCTTCAAAATTTACAAAATGTAGTGCTGAAAGCATATGTGCTTTGTTAGATATTTAGCAAAACTTCAGCACAATGATTTACTTTAATACAGGCTATAAGACTTCAGTTTTCTGCCTGCTAGAGTCCCATCTTAAATCTGACTTTATAGCAAAATTAGTAGTTTGAAATTTATTTCACAAAATCAAATCCCAAGATTTGCCAGGAATTTTCAATTATTCCACTGCTTATATAAATCGAGACGAGTGGTTCCTTGTGTCAGAGTTACCTGGAGAGCTCTTAAAAAATACAGATTTGGGGGCCCTACTTCTGAACTATTGAATAAGAATTTACAGGGGCAGCTATATTTTTAAAAGCCCTCTAGGTGATAATGATATACAGCTTAGTTTAGGAGCCACGGCTGCAGCCCACTAGATCAATCCTTAGTTACGTCAGAATCCTGGGGTACTTGTTTTTTGTTTTGTGGCTTTTGTGCTTTTTGGGGGTTTTTTTGTTTTTGTTTTTTGTGACACACTGCGCGGCTTGTAGGAT